TAGTAGAGACGGGGTTTCACCATGTTGACCAGGATGGTCTCGATCTCTTGACCTCATGATCCACCTGCCTCAGCCTCCCAAAGTGCTGGGATTACAGGCTTGAGCCACCGCGCCCGGCCATCTGTGTTTTTAATAGAGACAGGGTTTCTTCATGCTGGTCAGGCTGGTCTTGAACTCCCAACCTCAGGTGGTCTGCCCGCCTTGGCCTCCCACAGTGCTAAGATTACAGGCGTGAGCCACCATGCCCAGCCTGTCCTATGCATTCTTAACAGGCGATTGTGGCCTTTGCATTACCAGAAGTAGCCATTTGGGTAATCTTTTTTCCTAAACCTGTGACCTTTTATTGCCTTTTTAATCTTCCTACTTACTTTAGAAATGCCGCTCATCCATTTGTAGCTTTTTCTCATTGGGTTTCCATCAAACCTGACTGGTATTTAGGTTGCTGCAAAAGTAATTGTGGTTTTGCCATTACTTTTAATTTAAAAAATTACTTTTGCACTAACCTAATAAATCTATGTAATTTGGGTTTTTTGGTGTGCGTGTGTGCATTTGTTTTTTTGGGTTTTTTTTTTGAGATAGGGTCTTGCTGTGTTGCCCAGGCTAGAGGACAGTGACACACAATCATTGTTGAGGCTTACTGCAGCCTCAACCTTCCAAGCTCAAGTGATCCTCCCACCTCAGTCTCCTGAGCAGCGGGGACTATAGATGTGCTTCACCACACCTGACTAATTTCTTTATTGTTTTGTAGAGATGGGGTCTCACTATGTTACCCAGCCTGATCTCGAACTTCTGGGTTCAAGTGATCCTCTTTCCCTTGGCCTCCCAAAGTGCTGGGATTATAGGCATGAGCCACAGTGCCTGGCCTATGTGGGATTTTTAAAAGTCTGTCTACTATCAATCCAAAGTTACTATCTTTTTCATAGCAACAAACTGGGGTCTTATTCTTATTATAGATGCCTTAAACTCATTCCACCATAGTGTGATTCTACCCAAAGTTTGTGACTTAGCTCCAGATAACTGTGAGAAGCAACTTAGCATAGTGTTGCTTAACTTGCCCGCTTAGGAGGGCAAGTTAAATTTCTCTGTGACTCAGTCGCCTTCTTGGTAAATGATAATCATTATGTCTTCCTCGCAGAGCTGTAGTGATGATTAAATGAGTGTGTACTTGTTAAGCACTTCAGGCAGCAGTTAGCAAAGAGTAATCACCGAAGTGTTCATTATTATAGTTACAGTTGATTATTATATTATAATCTTGTTTATTTTGTCCATTACTTTTTCTTCCTGGGAAGGGAAATGCAGAAAGGTATACGTGTTTGATATATAATCATCTTGCTTTTTTTTCTCCAACCATTAAATATTTTGCTTAAGGCCCTATGCTGGTTTTAGTCCTAATCATTCTTCTGGAAACTTATAGGATAACACATCCTTAGGTTTTCAATTTATTTCCTCAAGGTGGGGTTTAAGTTTTCCTTAGCTTAGCCCACTCACCATGCCATAGTGTGCCCTCTTTGACTCTTGCCTCTGATCAGTGTCTACCTACAGAACTAATTTGCACATATTCTTCTTCATACTCTACTGCCTTAAGTTTTTCCTTGCTTTCCCCCTTGATTTTCTTCTGGCTTGTTCTTACTCTTTCTGGACCCATTGGTAAAAGAATAAAGACCTTTTATGGAGCAGTTAACACTGTCACTGTATAAGGTGCTCTGTAACATAATCCTCACAGCATCCCCAGGAGGTAGGTGGTACCCACTTTACAAAGAACCAGAGGCTCAGAGAGACAGGTTCTGGGGGTCATGGCCCATCTGGTTGGCTGCGAGCCAGGCTCTGAGGACACTGTTGCTTGCACTTCCCTTTTTACCTGTCCTTTCTCCTTCAGCCCGGGAAAATTGTATTAACGGTGTTCTCATGTGTTTCTTTGGGCACATGCTATTGCTGTTTTCTGCAAAGTGAAAAAAAATTACAAAACCTTAAGATGTTACTGCCCATTTTAATCACCTTTCTCTTGCTTTCTTTCACCACCAAATTGCTTGGAAGAGTCCAAGTCCTCAATATGCAAAATGCCCTAACCCCTTTCTCCAACCCTATCCTAATTTCCTTGGCCAGGGAAATATCCTTTTTGTCTGAGTTGACATGAGAATCTGTATGTGCCCCTCTGCCTCATATGAGCATTGCCCATCTAGGTCCCTGCTCATTCCCAGGAGACTCACCCTAAGGACAGATTTTATCTCTACATCTCCACGGCATCTGGCGTGGAACCCTGCCCTTAACTGGCACTCATTATTTGTGAAATGAAGGATACCATACTGGTATCTGAGTTTTCTCATGACTCTTCTCATCTCAGCCCTTTGTCCCAGCTTGTAAGCCATGAGCTCCCTGACACAGCTGCCTGCAGAGGTCTCTTAGGGCCTTGTGATGTAGTGTCCCTCCTCCAGCCACATCCCTGATCTTCCCAACACAGTTCTCTCCTTGAAAGGCTCCTCCACCTTGACATTCAGGGCTGGGGTCCTCTCCATCCCTGCCTGCCCACACAGTCCCTCCAGCTCCCATGTGCGCTCCTTCGTCCTCTCTCTCCCACTGCTCTTCTCCCTCTGGAACTCATCCCACCGCCCCAAGGATGACTCACTGTCAGGCATACTGTCTGTATGTCCTTCTCTAATTGTTTACATGCATAGAACTTGAGTCTCCAGCTGGTTCGTAAGTCCCTCAGGGCCAGATTTTCCTTTGTGTCCACTAAGGTACCTAACACAGCTTTGGGCTCTTATTTGCAGATATGACCACATGTATGTTTTCTAAATATAACTGCATTTTTTCTGGATCAGTTTAAAAAACTATGCTATATTTAAATTTTGATTTTCTTCAAATTTGCTTAAGACCGTCTATTCTTTCAGTTTTTCTTAATGCCTGCACAGGAGCTGCTTGGCATGATGCTGTCAGCTGTAACATACATTTAGGCTTTGATATCACCAGTCAAGATCATCTGTCAAGGAAGATGACATTCCCTCCTTTGCCATAGCTGGGCCTCGCATTTGCATCGCTGAATACATGCCTCCAGTCTGTTGAGTATTCTAAGCAGTAGATTTATAACTTTAAAGTTTTTAAAACCATGCAACTACCTCATCTCTAGCAACCATTTCACATCTAAATAATCATCCTTGGCCTGCCTAATAATGTGAGTATAAAGATCTGCCAACAGTTCTTTTTCCCCCAGTAATCACTTCCAAAATAAATGATGAATTCCCTACTCCTAGAGATTGCATCACCCCTTCCGAGCCAGCGCTAGTGACTTGTAATTATGGTTCCCAGAATATAAACCCTTACGAAGGATTCTGTGACTTTTCCTTGATGCTTCCATGATGTCAATAGCACTTCAGTGGTTCCATGACCCATCTTCGCCTGCTCAGAGGCCACAGTGGACTTCTTTTTTCTTCTGCTGGCCTTTTGTTTATCTCCTTGAATCATAAAGGAATCGTCAGCAGGAGTGTGTAGCCCTTTCCCTTCTGAGTCTCCACTATTGTATATTCTTGCTGCTGCTTTATTTGAGCATTGGTCATTTCATATTTCTTCCACTCTTTATCTCCAAGATGATGCTTATCTGTTAAGAGAAAACAGGACTATGTCCTATTCATTCTCTGAATCACCTTCTTCCTTCTCATTATGGTTTCTTAATTCTGTCCCTTGTGTTAATCGATTGTTGCGTTGACAAATTGCCCAAAAGTTAGCAGCTTAAAACAAAAC